AATTTTTTTAGTTTCAATTTAGCATTGGAGAATTTTATAATTTAGTAATTAAAATCTCTGATAGGCTTTAGAAATTGCAGCTAATTGAATTTAATGGGAAGATGATTTTCAATTTTATTTGATTACCCGGACCCCTGGCATTGGTATTTATGGGAAAAAAATGGGAAATGTGCTGTGTGGGCTAAGATGGCATAATTGAATTAGGGCTAATCGGATTTCTTCGTCATGAATTTCACTATAATTTTCCTATAATTTTCCATTAGATATCTAGTTTACAAATATTCACAAAGAAATGAAGCTCTTTCGGAATGGAGATTGCTGGCTAACAGGATTACAGGGACGATAGCTCGGCATTGCCAGCCCGGGCTCCTTCAGTAATGCAATCGCTGCGTCTGCCTCACACTTACCGCCCGCCGCTGCTCCCGCAGCCCCGGCCCCGTGCCAGGGTCCCGGGGGGCAAAGCCGGGCATCAGTGGGGCTGTGCCAGGTCTGTGTGCCACGGGGCACTGGGTGACAGCCCTGCCTGGCAGTGTCCCTGTGCCACAGGGCACTCAGTGACAGCCCTGCCCGGCAGTGTCCCTGTGCCACAGGGCACTCAGTGACAGCCCTGCCTGGCAGTGTCCCTGTGCCACAGGGCACTCAGTGACAGCCCTGCCCGGCAGTGTCCCTGTGCCACAGGGCACTCAGTGACAGCCCTGCCCTGGAGTGTCCCTGTGCCCTCGGGGGCACATGGATGCTGTGCCAAGCACACAGTGGGATCCCTGTGCTCTTGGGGGCACACAGATGCTGTGCTGGGCACACAGATGCTGTGCTAGACACACGGATGCTGTGCCGGGCACACGGATGCTGTGCTGGGCACACGGATGCTGTGCCGGGCACAGGGATGCTGTGACAGTCACACGGATGCTGTGCTGGGCACACGGATGCTGTGCCAGGCACAGGGATGCTGTCCAGCGCTGTCCTGGCTGCTGCAGGACCATGCACAGGTCTTCCTGTGTCTGTGCATTTCCATGACTCCGTGTGTGTGCACATGGCGTGTGCTCACACTTTAATTCCTTGCCTCTGCAGGAACACAAGCTGGCTTGCAGATCCTCTGGATGGAAATCACCGTTTCTGTTTGCGCTCGCCCCATGCAATGCAGAAATATGTCTTGCTAAGTCTGGGACCCATCCTTGGGCAGCAGGTTCCCATCCCAGCTGGGTGCTTTGCCAAGCCCAGGCTCAGGGGCTCTGTGGGGTTCAGGATGGCTCAGGGTGGTATTTGCTGGTTTTGCAGGCGAAGCACCTGCTTTTGAGTGCCAGGTACCTTCCCTATTGGACCTGCTGCCTGGGTACAGCTATGCCCTTACCTCCTCACCCTGGAATCCCCAGGCTGCACTTTTAATTGCTGCAGTAAATTGTAACTAATTGTTAGTGCATTCAAACCCCTGCCACTCCTTCCCCCCAAGTCCTCCTGGGCCCCTGTGGAGCACATGCCGTGTACGTTCAGTGCCGTATGGCCCGTTCCCAGTACAGTCATTCCCTCTGGGCAGTGGTCAAGAGATGAGCAGCATTGGCTTCCAGCAGATGCTGGAAGCTGTGGGGTGCCTGGAAAAGCAGTAGCTTCATGGTGGGGACGTGGTGTCGAACGGTTGGAGGCCAAAGGAACAGTAAATGGAAGAATTGCTCCCAGCAGAGCCTTCCCCAGCACGCTGAGACTTAGCACAGCTGCTTTGGCAAGGGGTTCTGGGAGCCATGTGCCAATAATGTGATTGAAACTGAATTGAGAAGGAAGAAGGGAAAGAGAAGGAAAGGGAAAGAAAGCATGGATTGTCTGCTCCTGCCGCCCAGGCCCTGAGGCCTCTGGGCACCTCCCTTGACGAAACAGAAATCAAACAAAATTACAGAAATAGGGCAGGAGCATTTGCCTAATAGACTCCCCAAGCAGGAGCAGGAGGGGCACAGTACTGCCAGATCTCCAGCCTGCAATCTGAGAGCCAGCGCCCTGATCCCACATGAATCCAGAGCACAGTCCCAGGCCCCCAGGCCAGCTCCAGCTAAGGAGGGAGAAACTGCCAAGAAAGTGGGCTAAGCATAAAAAACAAAGGTAGAAGAGACACAAAAAGGGGGATGTCCCACATCTCAGTGTGACTCACCCCCTGCTCAGCCCTGGCACACTGTCTGCGGGGAAAGCATTAAACTGTAATAATAATAAATTAATCATCCTTCCCCCTCCCATTGCACTTTTCATGTGAGGATCTCTGAGCACCTGGCAAACATTAATTACCAAGAGCTCCTCATGCCCCTGGGAGGGTGGAAGGGGACACACAGAGATCTCTTCACCTGCCGCGGAAGGGCAGATGTGGCTGGAGCCGATGGGGCGGCTCTCGCGTGGCACGGAAGCAAAGTTCAGAGCAGAGTGAGGGGTGCTGCCTTCCCTTGTGTGCTCTGCAGAGCAGGGCTCCGGGAGCCTTTTCGTGCCAGGGCATGGTCAGAAACAGCTTTTCCTAGAGTGGATCCATACCCTGAAAGGGGTAAGGGAGGGAGGGGAGGTGCTGCCCTTATCGGCAGCACAGGAGCAGAAAGCTTCAGAGACAGAGAGAGGAAAGAACCAACTTTCCTTGGGTAAGAGGCAAAGGAGGGAGTATGGGGAAATAAAACCCGATCCTGTGACAGGAGATTGCTGAGATAGGAAATCAGGCCTTGCCATTGCATCAGCTGCAGGGCGTGGATTTCACCTGAAAAAACACCTTGGCAAGTTGTTCCTGCAAGGAGGAGTGGGAGGGACAGTGGGAAGTCTGTGGAGGGGATCCTCCAGGTGTATTTAGGTTGTGTGTGTGAGTTCGTGTGTGTCATGGTGCATGGATATGTGTGTATTTGAATGTCAGTGAGCACAGAGTATCATTTTCTTTGTGGAGGGCATATGCATGTTGCGTGTGCATGCTGGGATGGGAGGGGTGGGGAACATTTGTATACTGATGTGTGAACGTGCTCAGCTCAGAGCACGTAGAAGAACAGGTATGTTCAGAGGGTCTGTGGGGCTGTGTGTGCTTAGTAACATATCCATGTTGGAAAGTGTGTTCCTCTTTGTGAGGAACTGGAGATCCAGCGGGGGCCCAGACTGTCAGGGAACAGTGGTGGTGAGCAGAACCCCCACTCTTTAAATATTAAGTTCACAGGAGAAGCAAAAATGAAGATATCTGACATAAAGTGCAGTGAACTTATGGGACCTGTCAGCAAACTCAAACCTGGAAGGAAGTGTTGAATCCAAACTGAGCTATTACAGAGCCAGCACAGACAATTCTGGTTCTGTCCATTACTTCGCAGGGTGGGATAATCCTTGGCAGGTGCTGTAGTGCCTGACTCAGGTGGAGGGACCAGGACAGGCTCTGCTGAGGGTTGTGGGTGATGTTGGCTGGGCTGGTGCCTGCGCTGGGGCCAAGTGAGGCACAGACAGGCAGGGATTTAAAGGCAGCACGGGGTGACAGTGCTGATGGTGTGGTTAGAAACCAGTGAGTGGGGAAGTCGGGCGGTGCTGATAAAGCAGGAGCTTGGCTGCACCAGGTGGAAGGTGAGTCTCATACAGGGGTCTGTTCAGCAGTGCTGCCTGGCTGGGCAGTCCCCAGCCAGGGCACACTTGCCTCCTGCTTGACACTGTTGTCCCCACGTGCTTCCTGGCTTGGAAGGTCCCTGGGTGGCTCCATTTCACTAGACTTTGTTTAGATTTTTCACTGAGAGGAGCCAGAATATTTGTGGTTTCCACAAATGACTCCCCTCTCCTCTTCCCTCTCCCTGCCCTCTGGCCTGCATTGCTGCCTGTGCGTTTTTGTCCATGCAAATGCAGCACTGCTGAGGTGAGGAGCTACAGTTTGTGTTGCGTCTCTGGGCTCAGGACACTATCTGGGTGCAGCACATCCTGGTGCATGGAGCCAAACACACCTGGGCTCCTTCCAGCCCTGTGACTAACCTGTCCAGCCACTTCTGGCGAGTCACTTCCCTCACTAGTGCCTCAGTTTCCCCATCCCTAGTGGGGTAATGATGCTGGCCTCCTTTGGAAAGCACATTAAGTTCTGCTTATAAAAAGGATTTAAGAGCTGGTAAGTCCACGGGCAGCTCTGTGTGAGCGCCAGTGAGGAGCCGAGCTCTGCCAAAATCCTGGAGCCAAACGTGGTGTGTTCACAAAAACAGCCTACAACCTGCTCAAAATACCTATTTAATCAGGTAAATAATCTGCTCGTTTGTTTTAAAGAAAGAGGCTTATATCTGTGTTTACCCAACACGCCTCTCAGAACCTCCCTCGCATTCTTTGCTACTTAGAAAAATAAAGCCAAAAAAAATGAGGAAATTCAGCGCAAAAGGGCCCCCTTCCCCCCGCCTCCCGTGGCCCCGGCGTTCGGGGTAGAGTGCCGCGATCTTCCCGAGGGCAAGATGCGTCCAGGGCTGTGAGACCCGCAGGTGGCGGCCACCAGTGCCCCGAGGGCTGCAGCGCTGCTCGGAGCGCGCTCCGCACCGCACGGCCGAGCCGGGACCCGCGTGGGACGGCGGTGCGGGGGCAGCCCGCCGTGCCCGGTACCCAGGGCACCGCTGCGGCTCGTCCGGTCCCGTAGCCCCCCTCTCCATCCCCTCGTGGTTTGCGCTCTGCTCCGCGCCGGCGGCTCCGTCCCCGCCGCTCCGGGGCTGCCGGAGCAGCCAGCGCCGCGGCCGCGGGGCGGGTGGCGGCGGCGGCCGGCGGCGATGGCTGCGGGACAGCGCGGCCAGGCCGGTCCGTGCGTGCGGGGCAGCCCCGCGCTGCTTCCCCGCCGGGCCGGGACCGCCGCGGGCTGCGCGGGGGCCGCGCTCCGGCTCCGCCCGAGGTAGCCCCGCGCCGCTGTCCCGCTGCTCCCGGCCCGGCCCGGCCCGGCCCCGCACCTGCCCCCGGCGGCGGGCCCGGCGAGGGGCGGGTCCGCCGGCCGCCAGTCACCGCCCCCCGCGGCGGCGCGCCCGCCCCCGGCCCCGCTGCCAAAGTGACTCGGGGAGGACCGGCACGGCAATGACATCAGTGCTTTAAACAACTTGTTATTCGGGAGCAATCAGCTGCAATTAGGTATTAATTAAGTATTATGAAAGTTGATTATTTAAGTGAATTCGGCTTTCGTCTCTCCGACTATGGTAAGTACAGCACAATTGTCCTTTTCCTGCCCCCAGCCCCCCGCCCGCCTCGGCGGAGCCCCCGCTCGGTGCGGCCGCTGGTGCCGGTGCCCCCGCGCCGGGCGGTGCGGAGCGGAGCGCTGTCCGCCGGCCGCTGCTCCGCGGCCGTGGCGCTCCGGGGCCGCGGGGCCGGCGCTGCGGGCAGCGCAGCCTCTGGGAACGCGGGGCCGCCGCCGCACCGAAACTTTTGTTGGCGGGCGGGTGCGCGGTGCAGAGCAGCGGGCCGGGCGGAGCGGGGCGCGGGGGCCGCACCAGGTGCGGTGCGGTGCTGCGGGGGGCTTGCCGACTCCTTCACTTTGCTTCTTTCACTTGTTTTACGGAAGTTGCTCCCGCCGCCGCTCCGGCTCCGCTCTCCCGGCCCCGCCGAGGTGAGCCGGGGACTCCGCTCCCTCCGTCCGTCCTTCCCGGCAGCGCGGCCCCCGCGGGCCGGGCAGCGGGGCTCGCAGCGGGCTGGCCGTGAGAGGATGCGGAGGGGAAGTTTATGGGGGTTTTGAAATGATTCTGCCTTTGTATTTGTTGTAAGTTGTGTGGGTTGTTTTCTCTTTCATATTTTCCCCCCTCCTGAGCTCTGGCGTGTCGGTGGTAAAGGTTGCTTGTCAGGTTCCTGTACTGCCTAAATGAAAAGGAATTTAATTTATTTGGGACAAGGCAGTGTCAGATGAAGAGGCTGCTTATTACATTTAATGAGTTGTTTTTTGGTTTTATTCAGCCTGGGCATATCTGGGATGGGTTTGTTTTTGTCCTTCCATGTGAGGTGTATGGGACCTCCCCCACCCCTTCACATCATGCAGGGAGGAGGAAAGGTGGCCAGGCTGGGGCAATGTTTTGGTTTTAGATTACAGGCCCTAATACTGGGGTTGGGTGTGTTTTTGATTGTAGCTTTTTGTGGCTTGTCCACTGGTTTTTGATCAGGTATCAGGATGGGGAGTAGGTTCCGGCCTGGTGCTGGGCTGGGCTGGTGGCCCTGCTGGGTGTGATGATGGACAGGTCTCCATCAGGCTGGAGTGTGATTGCAGCCAGGAGCTGCAAGCCTCAAAGTGTTGGTGGGTTTTCCAATCTTTGGACCGTCTGGATCAGAGTCTCATTTAGATTTGACAAAATGTACAAATTCAGAGTTTGGTAGGAATCGATCCCTTAGGTGATGTTACCTCCCTCTTTGGGACCAGGGCCCACCACTATGGCTCCATAATGGCTAACACAACTACACCTGCTCCTCCAAAATGGTGTAAACCATTCTTTGCCATTTGAAAACCAAATGGCAGCAATGAGCCAAACAGGCCTGTGCTGGCAATGTGCCGTGGTCCAGGTAATTACTGCCAGAGAGTGTGTGTTGTTTTTTTTTTTTTTTTAATAAGGAGTAAGATGGTAATAAACTGGTTGATGATTGACTGGGCCTGAACTATGTACTCTGATATTGTGAGTGAGAGGATAATTTTGCCATCGTTTATTCCATTTATTTACTTATTTCTACCATTGATACCAGGAACCGAGTGGCTCCGGAGCCACTTCCACCTGTGAGTGTGAGGTGCCAGCTCTTCTTGGCTCCAGCCGTGGGCGTGTGGCTGCTCCCTTCTAGATCAAGAGGCTGGGATGCTGCGTGGGCAGCTCGGGAGCCAAGGATGTGGTGAAACTGCAGGGGGGCGAATGCTTCCAAGAGCGATGAGCAGTGATTTAGGCCGCTGCCATCTCCAGGAGCTGCCCGGGGCAGGGCGGGCAGGGCCCGGGGCCGGGCCCGGGGCAGGGCGGGCAGGGCCTGGGCCGGGGCCGGGCAGGGCCCGGGGCCGAGCGGGCAGGGCCTGGGCCCGGGGCCGGGGCCGAGCGGGGCCTGCCCCGGCCCTGCAGTGCCCTCTGCCGGCTGGAGCTGCCGCTGCCCCGGGGGGCTCCCCCGAGCCGGGGCTGCCCAGCCCCACGCCCTCCCCTCCCCAAAAAAGGGACCCTCCTTCGCCCCACGGGTGTTGTGTGTGGCTGCTCAGCCCTGCCACCGCTGCGCCCAGGTAACCCGTGGGGTTTGGTCTCCACTGTGGGAACCTGGAGTGAGCCCTGGGAATGAGGATCGGGGAGATCTCTTTAAGTCAGCATTATGATCTGTGTGTGGGTGAACCCGTCTTGTCATGATCTTGGGGCAAAGACCTTCCCCATAATCACCACCTCTAACCCTTATCTACTTGGGCCAGCTTATCTCCCTCAGTCTGCCTCTTGAATTCTCTCCAAGCCCTCCGGCAGTGGCTCTCCAGAGGCAGTGCCCGAGGGCTGCTCATACCAGATGCCAGCTGGCAGAGGCAAGTCCAGAGGGGTTTCTTTCCCAGAGGGACTGCGTATGTGGGGTCTGACAGTCTGCTCTTGCTGAGGGCTTTCTCAGCTCAGTCAATCCTTGCATGGACCTTCTAGGACCAGAAGTGTTAATAATGGTTAAGGGCTGAAAAGAATTTGTGGACTGAGTCCATCCGTGCAGGAATGTGGCAAGATGTTCCCTGCATATGACTTTCTTTGAGTCTGGTTTTAAATACCTTGACTGACTGGGTACTTGTCACTTCCTTTGGGAAACTGTTCCCCAGCCTAGTTATCCTTGGTATGAGATTACAGGAACTGACCTCAGAATGAGGACCAAGACGCCTATGGGAAATGGGTGGAGGAATATCCAATCTCCCACTCAAAGGGTCATTTTGTGTCTTTGTCAAATTACTGCTGTTGTTTGAAACACCCAGTGGATAGAAACACCTGCTTTGGGCTGGTGACAACTTGTTTTTTTGGGTTTTGTTTTTTTTTTTGCCAGATTGTTTGGGAGACATTGGCTCAGTCAAGGTTGGTGTCATTCCTGAGCTCATGCTCTGCAAAAGGTTCCTAGGCAGTTTGGGTGTTCATATCCCTTTCCAGTAATTCTATGAGATACTTGTTGGGTGGAAAGCATTCAAGGGATTAAGCCTACCAAGTGAAGATTTTCCTTGGGAGAAGGGTTTAGCAGGATAGGGATTAACCACCCCATAGTGTGAACAAGCAGCACCCAGCTATTACTTGGAGAACATGCTTCAGAGCTGCTTGAAGTCCACAGGAGTGTTTCTACTGCTTTGGCACTATAGAGAGATAGCTCACAAAAAGACCAGAAAGTTGATCTCTGTGATGAACTCCTGTTTCCTCACTTCTACTCTGTCTGCTGGATCTCCTGAGTCCTTCTAAACCAGGTGTGCCACTGTCAGAGTGGGGTCCACTGATGTGCACAGGTACTACACCATTCTGCTCTGAGACACAGAGTCCCAGGGGGGAGAGGCAGCTTGTACTGAAACTGGCTGGGAATGGTACAGACATTTCGACTGGACAGGATCACATATTTGATGTGTAGTTTCCATATCATCAGTTTCTCTTTCTGTTTTGCTAAACTGTTTATACTTCTATGCAGAGCCTGCGATTGGATCTCTGGGCTTTGCCTACACAGCCTTTTCTGTCCCACTTTTTGCTCTTGGCTGTCCTCCCAGCGAGAGCCTTTGTGGCCACTTTGACTCTCCCTCTGACATCAAATCGTACCCCTGGGCTGCTGTGCAGCCTACAGTTTAGGCACCCTCTGAAAAGTTGGTTGAAAGTGTCTTGAAAGTAATGAAAAGTCCTGTAGTAGGTGAAGGTTCCTATTGCCTGTGCTGCATCTCCCACCTCCACCCGGGCTCCTTCCCTCCCTGCCAGGGTTGGAAGATGCAGCCATTCCCAAGGTTTGGAGAGCTCAGGTGCCACCCAGGCTCAGCTCCCAGAAGTGCTGACACCGCAGAGGCCATGCTAGCCGATCCAGCTGAGGTTTGGGAGAACCAATGTCCTCGTCCTCAGCTGCACTTTGCAAAGCAAAGAGGGGGCAGAGGAGGCTTGGCTGGAAGCAGGGGAGGGGCAGAACCTCCAGCCAAAAGTCCCACGCGGCCCCGTCTCCTCCCCTCCGGTTCAGTGCGGACTGGATCAATTTGGACGTCTTCAGCAATAAAAAATGCCGATGTCGTCCTAATTCACTAGGCCCCGAGATGACAGCAAATTTACATTTTTTAATTAAACTAGCAGCCAGTTTTTATGAGAGGGGGCTGGGTTATGCAAATCAAATGGTTGTGTACGAAAGATTAGGAGAGTTTGGGAATAAATTCCACAAATGCTAATAAAAAAAAAGAGAGAAAATGAGAGGGGGGAGAGAGAGGGACATTGTTCCATTAGCCCCTTTTAGGCTGATTTCCCGAGGGAGAAAGCTATGGGGGGTGAGAGATGGAGGCAGCTTTCAGAGACAGGTAAATCCATTTCGAGGATGGAGAGCCGCTTGGACCAGGACCTTGTTGCTCCCTGTTTTGTCTCCGAGGGCTCGCAGGGAAGAAGGAGGAAGAAACTGGTGACAAAAGAAACACTTGCTGGTTTCTAATCCCCATTCCTGCTTGACCAGTGATCCACAGGCTGGAGCAGCAGCTGGGACTGGCTTGAGGTGTAGAAGGTGCACAGTGCTGAGGTGCTGGAAGGGCACAGGTGGGTGAAGGGCTGGGCCAGGTCACTGGGGTGCTGCAAGAGGGTGGATGTGGCAGGGAGACAGAGCAATGTCCGGATGGGCAAAGCCCAGGGGCTACACAAAGCTTCTCTGGATAGGGCCCATCTTTGGGCTGACAGATGGTCACAGAGCAGGGCTGCAGCTGGGATTGGTGCCCTGGGGCTTCATCTCCTTTGTGCAGCTCTTGTGGGTGGGCTTCTGGTCCCTGGCAGGAGCTGCTGGTTGGGACTGGCAGCAGCGCTGATCACAGGTGAGGGTCCAGACTGCTATTCCGTGTAAGCAAAGGCTTTACCTGCAGAGCAGAGTGTGTTTTGGAGTGGGACGGTGATGCCTTTCCCTCACCCAAACTGTGGAGCCCCTTGTTGCCCACCCATAGAGATCTGAGGCTGACTCCAGCTGTCAACATCTCTTTCCAATGTGTTAACCTGGCACCAGTCTTCACCTCTTTCTCAAGGGACTTTCC